CCCCAAAACCCCAAAACCCCAAAACCCCAAAACCCCTCTTAGGTAAAGAGATGTAGAAATATAATAAAACATTAAATTAGACAATATGAACTCTAGTAGAAGCAGCAAGGTGCGTAAATCTAAGTCCCCGGGTTCCATTAACAAGATGTTCCATTCAAACATAAAGTCAACCAGTAGTAATTCAGGAATGAAGAGTAAGGTAAAGAAAAAGTTGGTCAAGAAGTCTTCCTCAAAGTCAATCCTCTCTAAAAATAGCAAGTCTGGGATGCGGAGCTTGTCCGTCTCCAGGAGCGTGGGGTCTTTGCCAATTATCCCAGGGAATGACCTCAAAACTATTAAGGAGATCTTTACCAGAGCGAAGAAGTACAAGATGAAGTATGGACAACACAAAATACCTGTGAAAGTAAGGTGAAACTTAATTTTTAGATCATGAAAAGTGAAAAGAAGAGTTTTGGAAGTCACAAAAAATCAAGCAGAAGTATTCCAAAGTACAAGAATTCCTCGAATTCTGTAGCCATGCCTGCATATAGCATCAGTAAGTCCTTTAGCCTTCCAGCTGCACTTCCCCAGTCCTGCAAGATATTTTGAAGAATTTGCGAAGTTTTGAGCTTAATTTCTAATGATCTAGAAAAACCTAACAAAGAAGATATTCATAGGCTGAAGTTATCTTCAGAGTAAGCTCCGTTACTTTATTCATTGCTGACAATCCCTAGGAAAAATGTCACAGAATGCTCGAAGTACGAACATGAGTACCTAACCGAGGAGCAAGAGGTGTGCAAAACAGAGGAAAAGGCGAAGTCTAAATTTGGATCTAAGAAAAAGAGTCCTCCAAGATCCAAGATGAAGTATGGAATTGAGAGTAAGTTGTACTGAAAACTCAATATTTTCACTGTATTTCCAACTTTTCTGTAAAAATTCAGTCTTTTGACTAATTCTGGACTGTAAGAAGCTAAAACTGCTGTGATTTAATAGCTTTGTCAGGACCGAACAAGGTGTATTCATCATAATTTTTAACAATCCGTTCATTACTTATGAATAATTCTAAACAATGATTTAGTGAGCAGAGATGCAAATGGGCTTCCGGCTGGCCATCTCGTACATCGCAAATGTATCCCCAAAAGCTCTAAGAAAGGAACTATGAGCACTAAAGATGATAAGAGCGAAATGATGAGCATTGCTTCGGGAGGAATGGCCCGCTCAGAAGTACCACGCATGAAGTAGTTTCTGAAATCAGCCAAATTTGTTGAAATCATAGAATATGTTTCCACCAATACGTTCTGAGAGGGGTTTTGGGGTTTTGGGGTTTTGGGGTTTTGGGGTTTTGGGGTTTTGGGG